AAATTGTGTCTGGATTGTCTGAGTAATGTTATTTGTACCTTTTCTGTTAGCAGGGTACATGACCATTCGCTATTGTTGTGAAAGGAAAATTATGTAGTCATCAGTTAGATACAAACTTAACTTTCAGGTTGTCTTTGTAGAAAGATGAGATATTTTTATGAATTTGTGATCTAGTCGACATTTTCAGGTTAGTTGAATGAGGTAGCTTGGTTTGATTCAGTTCTGGCATAACATGCTGCAGAACCTGTGGGGTGCAGATAGCCCCAGCCGGGTGGAGAGCTTAGAGGGAAGTGGAGAGCTCTCTGTATCCTAATTCTGCATGTCAGAGAACTGAGCTAGGTCTCTTCCTTGGAGGACTTAAAGTATGCATACCCCTAGATCCTAGCAGGATTTGCTGCCTGACATGTCGGCAGGGTTTTAATTACACTTTTACTCTTCGGGGGGGTCTGTAAGAAAAATTGTCTAGGGTCAAGGCTGTGTGTGTGGGTCCCTGCCAGTAGCACAGGGCTGGGGTTAGTGGTGGTGGCAGCTGCAAGGAGCCATGGCCACTTAGGCTGCTTAGAAAGGCCCGGGATGGCCCGGGGGCTGTGTGCGATGGCATGTGCTCCGTTCTGTTGCAGGGGACGGGGTGGGAGATGGGTGCTGACTGGCCGCAGCAGCTCCCCAGAACTGCCTATGTGGCCCATGGGCAAAAATAATTGGCCACCCCTGACCTAAGTGAAGAAGCAATCCAATCCGAGATCCTCCCCACCCAGCTATGATTTTCATATCTTACAGGAGGGACTCTCATCTCTTATCGGGGTTCAGCCCCCACAAGCTCCCCTGTAATTCGAACTCTGCATGTAGAGTCATCCTTCATATGCTCACAGTAAAATGAAAACAGCTTCCCATTTTGGACTTGTTTTTAGGTACTCTTGTCTCCCTAACTTTAAAGCTTCTTCCAGTACCTGCTGTTCCTATAGCAGGGGCAGGCAATTATTTCAGGTGGAGGGCTGCTTACTGAGTTTCAGCAAGCCATTGAGGGCCGCATGGCAGGCAGCCAGGGGCAGATATACATTAATTTTCTAAATTTTTTAGCGGCCCCATGGGCCGGATAGAATGGCCTGGCAGACCGCATCTGGCCCGTGGGCCGCATTTTTTGCCCACCCCGTCCTATAGGCTTTCCTTCCACCTTTTCCCATTTACCATAGTTAGGTATAATATTTTTGGTCCTCTGGTGCTACAAAAAATACAGAGTCAAATTTAAATATGATTAAAACATTCTGGCCCAACCATGTTATAACATATGGTGGGTTTGGATAGAACAAAATCATTGTTATGGCTGTGTTATGGAGCTGTGAGCTGTTATCAGTATAGATCAACTGAATTAAGGAAGCAAATATCCATTTTTGGGACACAAAAATAAAATAATCTTTACCTTGCCATCATCTCTGAACTTTGAATAACAAGAATAGTCTCTTTTGATTAAAAGGTTACATATTTAAGCATTTTTCCATGGTTAGGACAAATTGCTTGTGTATCCTGTATAAGGTAAAGGAAGCTCTCATATTTGTTTGATGTGATTATGTTTCTTTCTTATTTTTTTGATGTTTATGCTGCCCCCATAAGAAGTCAGGTTTAACTGAACTTGTAGTTCCTTCACCTAATCAAAGAATCAAAACATATTTTACCTTGGATTCCTTTTAAGAGTTCAAGCTCTTTCTGATACCCAATAGAAAACTTACTAGTGTTCTCACATCCTTTCTACATCCAAGTTGGACAGTTTTGGAATAGTTCTGATTGCTCTGTTCTGGCACTTGAGAGTGCATTTATCTCACCTAGTACAATTGTCAATGAAGCTTTTATTTCAGTTGTCACTTCACATTCATTTTCCTCCTTCCTCTGCTTCAGATGTAGTCAGCTCTCTCATGTGTACCTTTGACTTCCCAAAGCCTGGAGATTGCCAGCATAATCCATTGTGGATCCCTTGCAAGCTTCTTTATGCCTTCTGTTTGCAGAATTGCTGATTTAAGTTGATTTAGTGCTATTGAGTACAGAAAGTTCCCCCTAAAAATCCATATAGCTGGGCTCCACTTTCAGATTGACCTTTGAACAATTTGGCTCGGATTTGAGAAGAGGAAAATATCCTGTAACTAACAAGGTCAATGCTGATTTCTTTCCCTGCTCCTAATGGTTCCTCATGGGGGGGACATGAGGTATTTCAGAGTGTCTCAAGCTCCAGTTTGACCATCCAGGAATGGGGAGTGGCCCTCCAAAACTGACCTTGCTTACTGAAGGGCTTTGCTGCTCATTGGTAAATGAGAGGAAGTTCAGAGAGTCTGAACCGTGTTATCCAAGAGCAGTGCCAGGTGAGGGGCTGTATCCTGTTCTATTGATGATTGTAAATATGGAAATCTGTTCCAAAGGAAACCTCCTTCTTCCGCCCCAAAAAACTTTATGCAAGTGGGTGTGTGGAAGTGGCAATAAGAACTTTATTAGCACAATACACAAAGAGAAAATTAATTTTCTCAAGGAAGTATTGGTATTAATCTCTGAAACTAGTGAATATTTGAATCGTTTCTTGGATTCTGCAGCTAAATGACTGTTTGAAAGATTGTAATGAAATAGGACCATGTTTCTGTACATTTTGTTCTAGGAGCACATGATTCTCTGCAGATTTGCAGATCAGACGGCTGTCCAGCTTCCACCCGAACGCAAGATAATAGGTATGTATTGCCACTAAGCAGCTGTTTTACAGATTACAAGCACGGTACTTGGTGATGTGCTTAGCTGACTATATACGAAAAGAAGTGGCACCTGTATCAACGGGGGGGTTACCGGCATCAATATGCAGTTCAACCTAGCTTTTTAGTTTACTTGAAATTTGTGTGGTTCTGTTTTCCATTTTGTTTTTTTCTCTATGGTTTATAATAGCAGTAACTTCCTTCAGGTGGGTTGTTTACCTGCCACTACTGACCAGCAGGATTAAGGTATATTCTTCCTCATTTCTTTCAGTGGTTCATTGAATGTTAAAAAAAGATGTTTTGGCAAATTTGGCTTAATTAACACACATCTTGATTAATGAAAAAAATGAAATTATCTAAAAAGTGAAAAAATGAAAAGGTGCATTAAAAGAAGATGTACTTTACCAGTGCTTATAAAGAAGGGTTCCTGTTAGGTATGAGTTTGAACCAAGATCCCAGACTGAAATGCTCCAAAGGGTAGGTATTTATGGTATGAAACCTAAAACCTCAATCTACAGTTTACAGCTTGAGTCCTTTTCCGGTTTTAGGAAGGTGACAAATGACAAATGTTCCTAGATGAACAAAGAACTAGGTTAGCTGTAGAAAATGGTGGAAGTTGCGAGTTGCTGAAATTAGAGCCGAAGAGAAATGACTATACGAAGTACAAAAAAAAATCAGGAATAAGACATGTTGAGTGTCATGAAAAGAGCATGCAATGAGGCAGTAAAAATAAGGGTCATAGAGAGGATTTGATTACACAGTGGGGCAATAACAGGCATCGTCTCATGTAGGCAAAATAAAAGAATGTAAGAGAGAACTGTAATTTTCTTTGCCTGCCAACATCTTCAGGGTGTCTTCAAATTCTACAAAAGTCAAAACCACTGTGAGCAAGTTTGAAAAAGAGACACAAATCATTCATTTTGTCCAAGCTTCCAGCCTGCTTTGGCTTATAGAAAGGCAAAATGTATTATTGTATTAGATGTTCTAAAAGAAATTGGAAGGGTAAAAGCTAAAAAAAAAAGGGCCGGGATAAATTTAGGCCAAGATAGGGCTAGCACTATGAGAGTGAAAGTAGACCCTTTGGTCTCAAAAACACTCATTATGGAGCATATCCAACCAGTAGAAGCAGCTAATCTAAATGGATTAAAAATGTGGCATGTGCAGGAATTTCTTTTAGCTAACAGCATTAAAATAAATACTGCAGATACTGAGATAACTTTATCTATTTTTAAGTAAAAATGGCAGTTATTTTGCTAGTGCTGCCATATTTGGAAAGAAAGAAAAATCTTGTCAGTGTTAATATCTACTGGGAAGACTCCAGTTGGTGGGAAGAATGTCTTTTGTATTGCTTGTTAGGCAGTCTTGGGAAATGGGAAGAAACTGATAGCTAGGAAGAGTTAAGGTGGAAAAAATGGATCCTCTTTCTGACTTTTGTTATCTGTGTATTTCAGATAATCTAAATCAGTAGTGCTCAACCTGCAGCCCATGGCCTGAATCCAGCACACGGTGCCATGTCATCTGACACACAGGGCTCCCCACAAGTGTGGAAATTGGGTGACAAGGAGTGGTGGTCACATTCATTGCCACGGCTTAGATGTGGAAGGTCAGAGCCACAGCAATTAATGTTGCCACCGCCCCCTAGTCACCAAATTTCCAGAGCTGTAGGAATCCTGTCAGCCTGATGACACGGCCCAATGTGCCAGATCACCCTGGTGTGTGGAATCGCTCTGCAACCAGATCCAGCATGCAGGGCCGGGCCAACTTGCTACATTACTGTTGTGGACTGACTCCACGCTGAATTTGGTCCACCAACCTCTCATGCACCACTCATGCAGCCTGTGGGGCCTGAAGGTTGAACCCCACTGATCATAACCATTTGTATGTTCTTGTAGGAAGTGCATGGGTTTTTTCTTCATAAATTTCTGTTAAGCATACTTTGTCTTGAGAAGAAAAAATATACTCCTTTGTATGCCTATTTCTAAAAGAACATTATTTCCCATTTGTGTTCCATTTAGAGTACCCTACATCACCTATTTCACTGTTGAAACTGGTTTTACAGGGGCTTTGGCTGGTGTGGGTTAAGTTTTGTTTTCCCCGAGTAGGGTAAAGGTCACACCAGTTTAATGTGAGAGTCATGTTCTTTTGCAGGTATTCAGAGGCCACATAAACTGCATGGTAGATTTTCATTTAAAAGAAGTTTTAAATGAATAAAAGATCTTCTTTTAAAATATATTTCTCTTTATTTGTAGATAGTAAAAACATCAATTATTTTCCTTATCTTTAGAAATCGTGTGTGTGTGTAAATGTGTATGTGTGTGTATGTATATAAATATATTTATATACACACACAATATACATATATCTATATACATATACGTGTGCATTATATATACTTAGCAATTCACGTTGTGGGTGTTACAGTTTCACTAAGGTTTATTGCCTGTCTGACATGGGTGCCAATTTCACCATTTGCCCCCAACCAGGTCCAGAGCACAGGGCTGCTTGCAGGTCAGATCTGGATCAGGGTATGAAGAAGCTGCAGCAGCAGCTCCAGCTCTGATGCAGAATTGTAGCTCAGACCTGGAGCATGCAAGAGTGATGGCAGCTCCAGGTCCAGCTTCAGCATGAGGCATGCAGTGGGATCCAGTGGTTGGGGAGGTAGGGCCACAACAGCATGGATGGGCAAAGCCGCCAATCAGCATGTCCACTGGGGCTACTCCCCCTCCCCTGCCACACTGGTAGACCAGTGTGTTGTGTAGAGAGGCTCCGTGGGCTGGATCTGGCCTGTGAGTTGTATGTTTTACATCCTTTATCAAATTGCCCATGAAAATATTCAAATACAGTGTAAAGGTTTTGGCTAGTATTGCTGACCCTATTTATCTATATGTTATCAATTACTCTAGTGTTGGTGAATTAAAAAAATGCTTATTTCACCCAGTACTCAGTGGACAGTAATTCCTCATAAAATGAATGATGACTTGTTTTCCTGCAGACCTCCATTCTCTTCCTCTCCCACCTTTTCCACAGCACAATTTGGGATTTGTGTTGGATCTTGTACAGTTGCAACATCCATCCACAATCAATAATGTCACCAATATCCCTCCAACTATCCATCCAGTATGTACTCTCATATCTAAGACAGATTCCTTTGAGACCCCCCAGGCTAATTGGGTCTATATTGTGAATAAGGTCCATACTGTAACATTTCCAACTGGCACCTCTTGGGTGAACAGGAAACGTTTGTAATGCTGTGGTGAAATGGCGTGTGTCCATTCACAGAAATTTGTCCAGTCTGCCATAAAAGGAAATTGTGATTCTAATAGCAAATACAAGGTTCGGTGCTGTGCAGTGCAGCTCTACAGAGATCAGTCTTGATAAGATGTATAAACTGCCTGCAAAGCAGACCAAACTGCTGAACTGGAATCCATAACTGAGATGGCAGGAGAGAAGGGTTTGTATTAGGCAAGCAAATATGCCTGCCCTGATTGCACATCCCTAATTTTTTTCCTGCCAATCGCAATTAAGCACTCAATCACTGCTTCTGCCACACTGAAAGCCACCAGTCACCCAGTGGGGGGCAAACTCTAGCCCTGTAACTATCTCAGTGGAGGTAATATATTTTCATTTGTAACTAAGGAACATGCATTTTAGTTCTACAAAAGAAAATAGTTTGGAGATACACTTTTTATGGAAAGACAAAGTAGACTGAAGTCACTTCAGCTTAATATTGAAAAAGAAATAAACACTACCTTGTGATACACAGCCATCTGTGCACCAGCTTTAGTGAACTGGATTGTAGAATCCTAACCATCAAATACCAAATGCATTTGATAGCATATCAAGAGGAAGTTGAGCGATAGGAATGTGAAAATGAGTGGCTATCTCAGCCTTGTTTCTTGTTCAGGACTTAGGATTGTATAATTATCAATCTCATAAATACTTTTCAGGATATTGCTGAAATTTTCTTCTAATTGTTGTGAAATGGCTGATAGTTCTCTTTTCCATGAACAGTCCTTCAGATAGTTTGACGAAACATAGGAGCCAAATATATTAAATAATATTCACCTGGAATCAATTAAAATAAATAAACAAAGAAGCAGAAAATAAACACAGAATTTTCCTTCTACAGTCATTCAGATTTATTCCCATATGTATTTTTAAAATGAGGTTTATGCTTTCATTTAAAAAGGAATTGGACTGTAATTTTGAATCTCACTTAAAAACACTCACATGCTTGTGCCCTGATCATTTGCTTAGGATAAACTCTGTTTGAAGTTTATTTTCATATTGATTGTGGAAACGGGATAATATTTATGTAAGATCCCCAGGTTTAAGATGAACCATGAGGGAGATGAGGACAGTGAGAAGGAAAAGGGCTAGAGTTAAGCGAGGTGAGACTAGTTTGAGATCTCCTAAAAAGGTGAGATTTCCTTTTTAATATTGTGCAACAGTGACAGATTTTAATATTGTGCAACAATGATATTTGTTGCACAGTTGCCCCCTGAAAGCGCTCTGTAGCCATGCCCTGACAGAAGCACATGGCTGCAGCACACTTTAGAAATGCCCGATTGCATGACAGATTGCATCAAACCCATCATTTAATGAGGTTTCAGATGAAGGTGCTCCAAAGTGGAGCTCCTTCATTAACTTCTGTTTGTCCCTGGGCATGTCCAGGGGGTTGCCATCAGCCCAGCCTACCCCCGGTGCTGTCTTCAGGATGGAAGTGGGGAGAAGGGAGGGGAGGGAGGTCTGGTCTGGAGGTTGCTTAACCTGCACTTGATGGGGTGGGGGTAGGTGGATTGGAGCCCCCCCACCAAGGTGCTCCAATCCACCTGGCTCCTGCCCCCTCCCCTGCCTTCTTCCCTCTCCCATCCTGAAGAAAGCACCCGAGCTGGGAGGGGGGAGGGTGAAGCTGGGGGAGAGAAGCTGCAGACATGCAGCCTCTCCTGTGGATCAGCTTTGAAGTGGAGCTCAATGGTTGGCAGGGGGTTCACTGTACAGTGGGGACCTGCACTGTCAATGCCCTTTCAGACAGCATGGTACTAATCTGTCCCCACTACCTGGGCTCCTTTTCCCCACGTTGCATGTCCCACATCTCTCAACTTGGAAAATATCAGAGAACAGGTTGTGTACATTATGTTTCTCCGTCTGTAAAGGCTGATAATAATTCTTCTCAACTTCTTTGCTGTGTGAGGTACACAGACATAGACAACAGCTGCCAAAGAATAGTTATCATTTCATAATTAACTTAGAAAATAAACAAAAGGGGAAAAGCAGATTTGATGATGCCATACTTGAGGAGTAACTTGCTTCTAAATTAATTGCCACACTTTCTGACCACCCGAATGACTGAATGATGACAAAGTGCACATTTCTTTGTATGTTAATTATTTCTACAAATAGTTCCAGAAGCCATTTCATCCCCTGCTTTTGCTCTTATATTCTAGGAAAACAGTGTATGGGGCTGGTGGACCTGGATCGGGCATGGGCTGCAGAAGCATACAACTATTCTGTCCAAGTGATATCCATGGAGCCAGAGAGTTGCTCCCCAAAGAACAACATGGTAGTTGGTATCCCTGTTTAGAGTAAGGGATTTATATTTAATTTTAACTTAAGCATCAGTCCTCATGATCAAAGCCTGATGACATCTACAGAATTGAAACCATAGCTAGGAACCAGACATCAAACATCTTGAACCCATTGTCTTGGGAAAAGGAAGCAGGAAAAAGTTTGGAAAGTCAGCTGCCTGCAGAGCATCACAAATCTTCCTTGTAACTATTGTTTTTAGAGCATCCCCTGACTTCCCACCTAGCTCCAGAGTAACATCCATCAGCAAAGGTTCAACAGAGTTTGGTTTTATTGCTGAAAGGATGATTTCCTTTTTAATATTGGCCTCCCTACTGGTCCTACATTTGAAATTGCATCTCAGGAAAAGATACACATTCACAAGCTGAGCATGCTTCTGGCACTAACATAGACCTTCAGATGGGCAGTAAAAGTTACTGACTGCATGGTAGTTTAATTTTAAAATATCTAGTCATATTTACAGCATGACAGGGTAGACTGTACAGTAGACTGCACACTTCGTATGGGTTGATTTTTGCTGTAAATTTTCTACCCTGTTGTAACTGTACTGTTTTTCATAAAGATATTTGAAATACTGCTCACCAAAGATATATTTTTAATCTCAATATTTTTTTTAACATTTAACATTTTTTTGGACATAGCACATGAAGATTTTGAGCTCAGGAGTATGAAAGAGCAGACAGTGGGAGAGGAGGTTGATACTATACGGACTTCCTAGTACTTCATTGCCATTTCTACCAACCAGGATGTGTTCTCTTTAGCTTGGTAGACTCATTGACAATGCTAGTTAATGTTTTTCCATTATTGAAACTAATAAATGTGTTTGGAGATGCTGATTTGTTACTTCCATTATCCTTGGTTTATTTTTTGTCTTTATTTACAGTTTGTACAAAGTTACAGCAAGAGAACCATGTGACAATATCATCCATGCATATGCTACATTAAAAAAAAATAAATCTGTTGTGTTCCAACTGATAGACTCTTTCCCGCATCCTAATTTAAATTTAAAATCATTCCCTGACACTAAATCAAATCAAAATAGCGTGTCATGGATTTGTTTTGCAGTTTTTCTGGTTTGGTGCATTTATGAATGTTTTTCTTTGTTAGTTTAATATATAACTAAGGTTTGGTCCAGATCAACAGCTCTTCAGTGAGTGTTGTGTATGCATCTACAAGACAAAAAAAGGTGTGGGAAAATGAAAAGGCATCTTCTGAAATAATCTACACCTTGTGAAGGTCACATATACAAAGAAACTGTGATGGAGGCTATACATAATGGCCACTAATAAAAGTGAAGAAAAATAAACAAACAGTGCTTTAATGGAAGAGGAAGTGTCCTAGTTTAGCCTGGCTTTCTGAGCATCTGTATAGATTGTGCACTTCAGCAGGGCTTTTTGGTGCTTTTACCTAAAGCTGATTCAATAAGCTATTAGATAAAAGCACCAGAAAGCCCTGCTGAAGCTCACAATCTATGTAGATGTTGGGCGAGCTGGGTCAAACTAACGTGATGCCTCTTCTGGGCATGCACTGCACTTGGTGCCGGGGTGCACCAAGCGGAAAGTAGAGCAGTGTTTGTTTGTTTTTCACATCTGTAAGCAGGCTGTTACATTTAGACATGCACACAAGATATACAGGTAAATATAGTTTTATACCAGCAGGCTGAATTTTCACTAGATAGGAATGCTGTACTTTTATATCAAGTTTTTGACAGGTCACAGAAGAAATGGTGGTCTTATTCCTATATCATTCCAGTATTGGTAGAAAAGCTGCTTGCTGTGGACTGACAATCTAGCCTACATAATATAGCAGCACCAATTGCTTTCTATAATTTGTCAAGCCTGTTCAAAGAAGTTAACCATGAAAAGAAGAAGATAATGAGACCAGGGGTCACCAGCCCCATTATATTCACTTTGATAGTTATCCCAGGGATAAAGTCCAGCAAAAGAAGCAAATTTCACAGTGAATGAGTTCCCTATAAATGTGCCTACTCTTAAAGAAAGTAAATGCTTTAATTTTCTGGATGTGAATAGGAACAAATCCCATGAACACTGTGAGAGTCTGCTGGATGTGACCAGGCTTCAGAGTAAATGAGAAATTAAAATAGAATAAAAAATATGAAGAGGAAAAGTAAAAGTATCTCACTGCTTCTATGTTGCATTATGGCATTACATTTTTGGGAAACTGTCTGGGTGGGACTGCAGAATATAGGTTTTTGTGACACATCTGTGAGGTCAAAAGGCATCTTGGCACTTGTCTGCCTTGCATCCCTTTACAATAGGGATGGCCAAACCATTCTATCTGGCCCGTGGGGCCCCTAAAAAATTTAGAAAATTAATATTTATCTGCCGTGGGCTGCCTGTCATGCAGCCCTTGATGGCTTGCCGAAACTCAGTAAGCAGCCCTCTCCCAAAAATAATTGCCCACCCCTGCTGTACAAGCTCTGTTTTGTGGCCTTGGAACAGCTGGGTCAGTGGACTCTTCCTTTTTCTTTTCCTCTCTTGAGAGTGGAGACTTTTAATTGGATAGGAATGGAGTTTGCCTATTATCAGTAACAGAAAACAAAGGAACAAAGTATAATGGTTGATTAACCAACGCTCTGATTATTAGAGAGAAGAGAAGAATGGATGAAAAGTGAAAAAAAAATAAAAATAGGAAGGTGGGTGAGGGGTTTTTTTGGCAACAAATAAAAACATCTTTCTTACAGGCATGCTATGACTATGCTAGGAAGTTCGATCTGGAAATGTAGACTCAGCTTTATTAATGCTTAGTTTCATTATTGCATTACATATTTGCTATTTAAAATTAAGATGCACTTCATGGAGTTATTGCATGTAGATGAATAGGATCTAGAATTTCAGAAGGGGGCAATTAAACATTACTAACGTGACAGGTCAGCAATTCATCTGTTGCTTCCAGCTGAGACTCATGTGGCCTTTAATCGAAGAAACTAGATTCACATGCAAGTACATGGCTGGATCTTGTGTGCAGTTCTCCTCAAGTACTCCCAACAGGACTAAGATGTGTTAGTAGGATGTTTATCCCAGCACCCACCATCATTCTCTCTATTTGACAGATCTTATTTCATATTGCCCTTGCAGCCCAGTAGCACTGGAAAATATTAAGTTTATACAAGAAACAGCTGATCAGACTGAACTCATCTGTGCCTGTACCTTTGTTTTTGCTTTTTTTCATTTGATCTTTCTGTTATGTGAGCTAGCTGCTTTCTAAATCCATTCTCAATATATTTTACCATTGCTATGTTTATATAAAGCTAATAATACACAAATGCATTCCTGGGTGTGTGCAGTGTACCTCCTTTATTTTCAGTAGTTTAATCTTGAAATGCACAATGATGATTCTGATAGTGTTCCAAAGAAATGATGCCTTATACAAGACACATTTGTCATCAGATTTATCTTATAGTTATCTTACAGTTTCTCATACACTGAAGCATGTAAAGCATTTTGTTTGTAGGGCTGCAAACATGCTATAAATTGCTATTTTTTCCCATTGCTGTGATTGTTTGACTTCCAGATGGTTGCCTGATGAATGTCTAGATCAGGAGCAGGCAATTATTTGGAGCTGTGGGCCACACAGGCATTTTTGGGGAGCTCCCACAGGATGGTCAGCCCTCCCCCCATGCCACACCTTGTGCATCCTGCGGCTCCTCCCTGCCACCACCAACAGCTAACAGACCCAGCCCTGACCCCAGCCTGCCCCGTCCCCACCGTGGACTTACCCTGGTTAGAGCAGACCAAACAAAACGCATACGCACAGCCCAGAACCCGGCCCTCCCCATGCCTGCTCCGGACTGCCTGCCCACACTGAGCAGTAGCAGTGGCCAGGCAGAAGCTGCTGCTTGGCGTGGGGAAAAAGTGGTCCCTACCCCTCACTGCTGCCAGGCCCTTCTTACTGCAGCCACCTAGAGCCCAGGCCTGGACTGCCCTGCAGCTCTTCTACAGGGCAGCACAGACGCGGGCTCTGAGTGGCTGCAGCAAGGGCCCAGTAGCAGTGAAGGGGAGAAGTTGCTTTTCCTCCATGCCAAGCAGCTGCTTCTGCCCAGCCACCACCACTGCTGCTGCTGCTCAACATGGACAGGTGAGTCTGGAGAAGGCGTGGGGCAGGCCAGGGTCGGGGCTGTGTGCACGGGTTCTGGCTGGTCCGGAGTTGGTCTGCTCTGGCCCAGGCAAGTCCAAAGTAGGTGTGGGGCAGACCAGGGTCAGGGCTGTGTGTGCAGGTCCCCACCAGTACCATGGGGCTGGGGTCAGCAGCGACGGCAGTTGGAAGGAGCCACCACTACCTGGGTTGCCTAGAAAGGCAGTCCACTTGCAGAGCCACCCCAGCCCTGTGTGTGGCCAGGGGCTGGCAGGATGCACCACGGGCTGGATGGCTACTGGGCCAGGCAGAACTGAGGGACCCACCATGGGCCACACAAAGTCCCTCTGGCCCGCAGGCCATATTTTTCCTGCCTGTGGTCGAGATTGTGTTTTCCAAAAGCCATCTTATGGAATTAATAGCTAAAATGGCATGTTGGTTATTAGGTTTTCAAGAAATAATGTTGCCATGTAGTGAATGTCTGACAAACAGCAAGTATTCCCAGGAAGGGCAGCTAATCACTTTGTAAGAAAAAAAAATTATGGATTTTAGCTGCACTACACTTTAGCAAGCTTTACTTTGGATTTCGTACGGATTTTTATTGGCTTAAGATGGACCATATGCTATCAGTTTTAATTCTTTCTAAATAGAGATTTTTGCTTGGGGTGAACAAACATGTCCTGCCTATGTGTTCTATTCTTACGTTAGAACAGTAATCAACTGGAAGTGCAGCTGAAATGTCATGTGGCACCTAATATGAGAGTCAATCAGTCAAACAGCTGTTCTTCAGACTTTGTAGACAAAACAGCAAAGCATAAAGTCTTCTTTAAACATATCAGAATGTAAAGTTCCATGTGTGGTTATTAAGACAGGTGTGTTTTACCCACAAATATTCACTCACTGGGCATGAATCTGTGTTTGCTGATGTGCAACTCCATCTGAGTTCCTCTAGATTCTCTCCATCAAGATGAGTGGAGGATTCTCCTAATGTGTTTGTACCTAGTGACAGGGCTGGTTTTAAGTTTTTGCCTTTGTGAGGGTTTTTGCCTTCCTCTGTAGCAGGGGGCATGGCCCTCTACCTGGGATCTCTTAAACGTATATTAACAATGTTTTATAGAAACAGGACGTTGGCTGCCATGGTTCCCCTGCTTTACCTGTGGCAGGTTAGGGTCTTGTGTCTTGTATTTTCTCAGGGTTTGCAGTAGTCTTATGGATAGTTTATGGATGTATAGGGTGGTTAGGTAGGGAAAATCCTGCTTTAGGCAGGGGTTTGGACTAGATGACCTCCAGATGTATTGCTCTATGAAAAAGTTGTTTATAGGGAGTGGTCCAAAAAAGGAGACAGAAGCAAAAGCATTCTTTGCACAGGAATTTTTATTTAAACTACCTGGCTCCCTGATTTAAATTCAGTGGCTTTTAACAAGTTTACAGAACATCATTACATTTCCTAAATGAATAACTGATCAAAGTTTATATGCAGTGGGTAAAACTGAACCTTTTTTCTTTTTTTTTTTACCTTTACGCTAACTCTCATTAACTATATGCTTGAAATTAGGAGACTAGTCAGCTGTCCCATTTTCCTCATTTTTTTAAGTAGAATGTCTTTTGAATATTTTACTACTTTAGTCTTATGTTAAGGACAACATTTTGGATAAATTTTAACAAATTATTCATATATTTTTGAGTGAAAAATGACTTTGGTAATGTGTTGGACAATATTTGCTCAATTTTTCACATTACTTCATGAAATTATGGGATACCTATATGCAAAACTGAACAACCACAGAGTAAATTAGTCTACTGGAGCTCCATGCTGCTGCAGATAGATTGCTTCTGATACTCAAGTGAGTTGGTTCACTACCTAGCTTTAAGCTAATTT